GGCATTTTGTTGGTTAGTACTAATAATAGTTGGAACTTTATTAATATACTTTATTGTTAGTTCCTTGTTAAGTAGATTAGGTTTTTCCAGTTTCTCTCGCACTTTATTCAAATAGTTTATTTGATATTTAGTTAATAAGTCATCCTTCAATTGAATTCTAGAAAATTTGGTTCCTAACAAGCTCATATTATTGCGCAACATAAATATTGGACTATCATTATCTGCAAATTTAACCTTTAATGGCCGTTATGCAAGGAACACTATTGTTTATAAATACTAAAATAATTTACTAAAAACGCCTAACTAGGTTTTTAAAACTAAATAAGTTTTTTATAGATATAATACTTATAAATTTAGTGTAAATTTTATGATATCGTTCTTTCAAAATAAAAGTTGCAGTATCTACTATTCTGTAACAATGTAAGTTTCATTATGACCAGTTCAAAATTCAAACACGTAACATTCCTACTAAGTTTTGTTAAATTCTGCCAAATTGTTGTACAAAGTGATTGATATGGCAACCTTGTTACTATGTCCTTTCGTTTGAAGCGTTTCGAAGCCGAACGTAATGCTATCTATCGATGATAAATACTACCACTGTTTCAGATGAAGCCATCTCCCTACATTACACATTTGATGGCGGCAGTTCAAGACATAATTCTTGTTTAACGAGATTTTTCATATGTTTAGGAAAAAATATTTAACGTTTTATTGCAAATATTTTCCACTTTTACAGTTTTATATATATGTTGTAATTAAAAATTTTTTTGGTTTCTTACCGGAAGTTTTATTATAAGCAGAAACATACTATTTTTTCCTATTGGGACAAAACTGTAAATTCAAAAATTTTCAAAAAATTCCTAAGTATTTCTTATAATTATATCTTGATGCTGTAAAAAAATTAACAAAATTATATGTCTGGTTTTCCCGCTTTATACTTGGAAAAAAGTACTTTTTTGAGTTTTTTTTTAAACGAAAACATGAAGTTTGCTTAAAAGTTGTCAAAATACTTCTAGTCATCTCATACACCTTCTCAAATTTTTTGAATTCGAAATTTATCTTTTGGGGGGTGCAGATCAACCTTAATAGTATAGCTTGTTCCAATTCTATTGATTTTACGAGAAAAACTTATAAAACATTCTTTTACATTCAAGTGGAGTTTGTTCTGATTACACCAATTTTGTAGTCGGTCTAACTCATCTACTTGTAGCAAGGCTTGATCTTTTAAGCTATCTATAACTTTCCAAAATATCAATTCATCTGTCAACATTAGACATTTGTTATTTAGCTAACAGGAAGTGATGTCATTAACGAAGATATTAAAAAGAAGTAGAGAAGTGTGGCCTCCTTGAGGAACTCCAGATGTTACTGTGATACTGTCAGACAGATAACAACCTACTTTAACGCTTTGAGTTCTTCCAGATCTAGAATGTTTAATCCATTCTACAAACATTACATGAAAGCCTACATTAATTAATTTCCCCAAAAGTATTTAGTGTTTTACAAGATCAAATGCTTTGGAAAAATCTGTGTATTTTGCATATACCTGTTTACGGTCTTAAATATGAGATAATATATCAGATTTAGAGCAAATCAAGTGTTGCAGTGCATTTTTTGCTATGAAAACCATATTGTGATTAAGATATCAAGTCTTTACATAACCAAGAAAGTTGCTTTGCTAAATAAGACTGTAGAAGAGCATAGGGATTGAAGATTGTAGATTGCAGTTTTCAATATGGTCTTTCTGACCATTTTTAAATATAGGAACAACAACTTTCTTTCCATGAAGAAGGAAACATAGAGGTTTCCAGAGATCTATTAAACAAGATCAGGAACTTGGAGGAGTAAGGGCGAATTCGAAAAATGGTCATTTTAAAAACAGTCTCATTTTGCTCACATACTATTAAAGAATATGTCTGTATCATTATAACACCATGTTTTGCCCTTCATACTCCCAAAATTCTGTAGAAAATAAGATAGCAACCAATTCATGTCAGAAACTGAACTGCATAATCGTCTAGAAGAGGAAAGGCGAACCCACAAGCTATCGTTGCGTCTCCGTTCAAGGTTCGCCCCTACTCCTCTATAACCCTGTTGGTGTTTCTGTAGCTTTAGTTGGTGAGACATTTTTGCGTTGTATGCAGATGTATGCGTTTTTCTTGAGTTTTTCTGTACGATCGTATGCTTGCAGTTTTTATTATTCGTATTTTAAGGAAAAACCGAGGTTACATTAGCGTTAAAGTTGTACTGTTTTTCCGATTTATTTTCAAATTGAACGCCGAGAACACGACAAGGCGGAAGCAAAAGAACACGGAACAATGGGTTGTTAACGTGTGTAAAACCACAGACCACTAATAACTAGGTAGGGAGGTAGGTGATCTGTGTGTAAAACCAAACGAAACTGTGGTGAAGCATGGGTGAAGTGAAGGAGTGAAGCGTACATTTCGAGAAATACAAACAGACCTGCGCCTGCGCGCACAATCGGACCACCCGACCACCACCATTTAAGTGTCGTAAAACTTGTTTTGAAAAGTTGAGCATGAACAATACCAATATGATTTTCAATAATTTTTGGCAACTGGGCAACTATGATAATCAAAACCAATACTGGCGAATGGATTTAGTGTCCGCAGTCATTTAAACACAAACAAACAACAACAAAACAAAACCAATACCTTTCAAAAGTGTTAAGTTTCAGTGATTGTAAAAAGTCTTTAATTACTGACAGAGCTAGTAGAAAGCTTCGGACCATAGAGTACAGTGTTTCAATAAATGGAGAAAGAAAATGTGTTTGTCGTCAGGGTTTTATTAGCATCCATGGCATAAGTGAAAAAAGAGTTCGCGTTGTTTTAGACAAACAGACCACCACAGGAACTGTGCTGAGTGACAACAGAGGAAAGCTATGCCCAGGAAAGAAAATGGTTGGATATAGAAAGCAGTTGATCAGAGATCACATTGATTCTCTTGTTACTGTTTCCAGTCACTATAACAGAGCCAAAAGTCCTTTTCGAAAATATATGCCACCGGGTTCATCAATTACTGGGGCATATGGAGCTTATATGGAATGAAATGGAATGGAATTATTTTGCCGGGCAAAATAAGAACATAAACGTTGTTTTGTCTAACCTCCGCCACATTCATGCAAACCGCTTTGATCTTATTAAGCACGTTTTTTTAATGTCTGGGCATTCGATGATGGGTTGTGATCGAGAGTTCGGTTCAATTAAATTAAAGATCAAGGACTGTGAAGTATTTTCAAAACAACACTATATCCATTTCATTGAACACACGAAAAAAAAGAACAAATTCCAAGTTGTTAATGACACGAGGGAAATGGTTAAGGATTTTAGCGTGCTTCAAAAAGCAGCAACTAAATCTCAAATATTGGGAGCTAACTTCAAGGATGGTAGAATATTCGAATTTTCAACAGATTTTAAGATGGGCTTTAAAATTCAAATAGCATACAACACGAATATTTCTACAAATGTCATACTCCAAAAGAGATGAAAGAGACTTCACGATGTAACAAATTTTAACTTAGATAGTATAGAACTTCCTCTCAAATACCAGGGTGCCATCAAGCTTACAGAAGAAAAGAAAAAAGACTTACAAGATCTTCTTGATTATGTACCCATGCCTCATAAGCATACTTTACAAGAAGCTATTAGTGGAGGAATTGATATAACTGAAGTCGAAGAAACTGTAGACGATGAAAATCAAATTGAGTTTAATTGAAGCTGTATTTGTGAATTTTGCAACTTATTCCACTGCCACTAGCTCTCACAGAAACCTGTTAAAAAAACTGGGTATGTTTATATTTGTAGAATAAAAAATATTAAACCTCTTTTCATTTTATTTCATAAAATCCTTGCAAAATCCTCTTTTATTTTCTATTAATAAAATAAAACTTGTTCGGTGCTACTAGAGTATGCATTCCACCTCAATGGTTTAATCTACCTGGAGGTACAGGATATTATGGATTTGGATTTCGAAAACCCTGGGAAGGGATTAAGGTGTAATTTGCATAATCATAAAGTTTATAAAATGTTTATTAGTACTTAGCAATAAATATTTTGCCTACAAACGATGCCTTTCATTATTGTGTTCAAACCCTTCTCAGAAAAGATTATGGTGATAGGCCGACATATCAATCGGTAGAATGTGTTTACACTCCCAAATACCATCTTTACAGTTGAATAAAATCATAGGTAAAACGAATTATTATTTCAATTTTACAGGTTAATACTTTGTCATATCAATTTAATATTTTGATTGAGAATAAGCCGCAAAATTTAAATAATAATTCTTAATTTTTATGTGTTACGCGTTTTATTCACTGTAAAGATACACCGCATAATATAGTAGAATTGCGACGGTAGACCGCATTACTATCGTAGCACCAATTATTCGCTCTTACTATTTTAATATGTTCGTAAACTTTAACTCAGTTTTTCTGAAACCTGGTTTTTGCGGTTCGCCCTTACTCTTCTAGGCTCCTGATATAACAAATGGTATTACAAAGCTACAGACACACTTTTTTAATAAAAAATTAGGCACTCCATCTGGACCAGCAGTACGCTTAATGGGCAGCTCATTTATGCTATTAAAAATATCTGTCATGGTAATCTTAGAAGGCAAATGTTTGAACTAAAGTTGCTATTTAATGGATGGATAGGTACATAAAGGTTGTTGTTATTTGGTGAATACACAGTTTGGAAGAAGTTCATAAATAAATTAGCTGTCTTGACCATTTGTTGCTAATCGAACTTAATAAAATAAAGAGTTAGGTAGGTTATGACTAGATCGCTTCATATTTCATATTTCTACCATCTAATTCATAGGTGGAGACAGAAATGTATAAAACAACTTATTAGAAATTACACTTAACAAAAAAAAGTTCTCCAATCAGTTATTGTTAGCTTGGGGAATAGTAATCTTCACCCACAAATTCTCCTGTAAGCATGCTTAGAAAACAATATACTAATTTTATTATATTTATTAACATATTTATACAATAAAAGTAATATATAATAGGAAACTTAATTATATAAAGATTTAAATCTAAAAAGTTAATTCACAGAAAAAACAGTTTGCAGAAATGTTTACTACATGAAAAAGTTGGTTTATGATATGGTCTAATAGATTCATACAATATTATTCTTTTGTTGTATACTATAACTTATGAAAATGTTGTTTATTTAGAGATCAGTTCAAAAATAAATGTTCACTGGTCATTTTTAACTATAATATATTTTAGTATGAAAGAAAACATTTGTAGCATTTAGTTTGTAATATTTGTCTTATATAGCTAATTTCAACCAAAATTATGCTTTTTTTCTAATTGCAATACAATATGATCATTTTTAGCCAATAGTATCTGCTGAACCTATTATAAAAGACATATTTAGTCCAAATTGTCAATTTATCTTAGATCTGTTAAAAATTTTATTATCACAAAACAAAATTTATTGGAAACAATTAACTATCAGACTTAATTATTGTGTGATAGGATTTGTGTAAATAAGTTTTTTTGTCTGTTGTTTATATCTATTTATACAAACACCATGAGAATACAAAGGGCGACAACGAAAATAAACACAAATATTGACTTACATTATAAAAATATGTATTTTATATATTATATTGAAATGTAAATAATTTATATTTGGAGAATCTGTAGCCTTACCTATGGCACAAAAATAATTTAGTTCCATTTTACACCTGGGATTACAGACATATTGTGTAATATTGAATAATTGAAATGTAAAAGGCATTCGAAACATTTCTCAGAAAGGGTATAAAAATATTGTGAATCCACAAAGAAAATTGGCATCAATTAAAAAAATATAAATTATATGTAACAACTGATACGATATATAGAGGAGTATGAATAGAAGAAAGGCAACAATATTGAAGTGAATTTCTTAAAAAATATGCTCAAACAATAAAACAAAAAATAATCACTGAAATTAGACTATGGCAGGCATAAACTGTATGATTCAATCATATGTAATGTGTGGTTGCCTAAACGAACAAATTGTTGAGCGTTAATTACCATAATGGGAGAAAAATTAAATATTTAACAAAACTGTAAAAAAAAATATACACAAATCCTGAACAACATCAAAAGTTAAAGATAAGATTAACTGATAGCAGATTGACTAGGATTTGGATAAAAAAATCTATATTTTAATAATACAAATATATAAATTAGTCAAAATACACAAAACATAGAAACAATATTGCATGAATCCTACTAAACAGGAGCAAATAAAACAGGATTTTACATTATCAATAAAAAATATAAAAAGCTACTCTTCACAACATCTATTTCACTTGGCCAACTCATTTGACAACCAATCTAGTCCTTCGTACAAACCATTCCCTTGGGTGGCACAGGTGGCTTGAATGTACCACCTTCTGTTCTTCAGAGTGTGCAACTTAAGCTTGTCTGTCAATTCAGCAGTGGACATCGAATTTGGTAAATCTTGTTTGTTGGCGAATATTAACAAAATGCAGTCTCTTAAATCGTCCTCTCCTAACATATTGTGCAATTCTTCTTCGGCTTCCGCGATACGATCTCGATCATTGGAATCAACCACAAAAATAAGTCCGTCAGTGTTGGCGAAATAGTGTCTCCAGAGTTTTCTGATTCTTGTCTGGCCACCTACGTCCCACACTGTGAAAGATATATTCTTGTATTCGACGGTTTCTACATTAAAGCCGATCGTTGGGATAGTAGTTACAATTTCACCCAGCTTTAATTTGTATAAGATTGTGGTTTTACCAGCAGCGTCCAATCCTACCATTAAAATTCTCATAGGCTTTTTACTAAACAATCTATTGAACACTGCAGATATGGTAAGACCCATGATAAATGCTTTGTATCACTATACTAGAGTTTTGCACTTCACTTTTATATCGGTGTTACAGCTATGTACAAAAGTTTGCTAACATTGAAATTTTACACTATTTTTAAACGTCGCAATTGTTGTAATTATCACTAACTTTGTAGATTCCAACTCTACAAATTTGAATTTATAAAGTGAGGTGATTAATACTTTAGTGATGTGTACCATAAATATTAAACGTCAAAAGGATAGACGTCACCAATCAGATGTCATGTCAAAAAATGTCATCCAATTTTTAAAAAATTTTGGTTTTAAACTATAATATTAAGATGTATTTTATATAAATATATTCAATCATAAAATAATTGTGTAGAATATGTCATAAAGAATATAATTTGGTTATTGTGTACTCAAGTTTGTCTTTCTTTATTCCAGAACTTCAAAATGATAATATCGGTGTTGCCAGTTTTACAGTATCTGTACAATTATATTTTATTTTTAAATATAAATTTATATCAAAATGTATGTTTATTAATATAAAATATATTTTAAATGTATGATTTTAACAGAAAATTACATATTAATACTTAAATGATTTTTAGTTTATTTACTGCAAACATATTGTACCGTTTTTAAATAAAACGGGTTGTTCGAATTTATACAAATATGTTTATTGATAAGTTTCCAGTTCGGTAATATCTTAACAACTCCAGGTAACTATAATAAAAATAAAAATAATAAAAACGTTTATTGCCATTTTAATATTACATTGCAAACTGTTAAGTACTTCATTTCTCTTTACGACGTCCCGCTCTTGATGTGAATGGTTTTTCCCCTCGGATTCCTGGCCCTAATAGCACACGTACGTCCAGTGGACGTCCACAGTACGTCCGCTTTGGTCCTATTTACGTCCTATATTGGTAAGAATGTCGCTGCGCCGAACGTCCTATGGACGTCCATTTTACGTCCCGAGCGGACGTTAATTGGACGTACCGGGACGTTAATTGTGTAGTAATAGGCCACATGTAAAAGAAGAAGAGGCGTGGCACCATGAAGTTAGAGATAGAGGTTAGGTTAGGTTAAGATAAAAAGATGTAACGTGTATATTGTTAATCTTATAGTTTTATTAAATATAACATTTAATAAATACCGAGTATTATTATTACATGGCGCAGTCAGTACAAGAGCCAAAAGTACAGTTATCCAGAATGGAAGGAAAAGTGCCAGAATCCATGAAATTCGAGGGGAACCTTCATGAAAATTTTAGACGGTTTTACCAAAATTTTGAAATGTATCTTATTGCAACTGAGAAAGATGACAAAGCCGATAGAGTAAAAATTGCTTTGTTTTTAAATATGATTGGACCAGAAGGAGTTGATATATATAACATTCTCAAAATACCAGAACCGAATAAATTTGATAGTGTCATATCAGAATTTAAGAAATATTGTGCTCCCAGAAGAAATAAAACATATGAACGTTTTGTATTTAATAAAAGAATTCAAGCTGCAGATGAACCTTTTGATAGTTATCTTAGTGATCTAAAAAAGTTGATACAAAGTTGTGAATATGACAAACAGGAAGACAGCATATTGACTGACAGATAGGTTAGTTTTAGGAACAAATAGTCCATCAGTTCAAGAAAAATTATTAAATACTCAAAAGTTAACGCTTGAAACAGCAATAGAGATATGCAGAAACTCTGAAATAACAAAAAAGCAGTTAGAATCTGTAAGAAACAATGAAAGTTTGGAAGTAAGTGCAGTAAAAAATAGACAAGACAGTAGAAATACACAAAGTGAGTTAAAATTTTTGTGTAGAAAGTGCAAACGTAAACATGTAGCTGCCCAGTGCCCAGCGTTTGGAAAGAATTGCTTTAAATGTGGTGCAGCAAATCACTTTAGTAATGCATGTTTTGCTGAAATGTCCAATCAGCAAAGATATAAAAGGCAAAATGTTAAAAAAGTTAAAGAAATTAGAAGACATGATGAGAACATTGATGACTCTTCAACAGATGATGACATGCATGTGCATACCGTGAAAGGAGTTGGGGCAATCAATAGTAGAAGTCGTAATCAGTGGATTGAGGTAGTCAACATAAACAACGAAGACATTCAGTTCAAGATGGACACTGGATCAGAAGTAAATATATTACCCAGTGATATTTTAAAAGTCGTATTCAGAAACAGTAAGTACAAAATTGAAAAGTGTAATACTATATTAGAAGCTTATGGAGGTACACGTTTGAAAACTTTAGGGAAAATTACTTTAAATTGTAAGAGGCTGGATAGGAATTATAATTTAGAATTTGTAGTTGTAGATTTAAAAGTCCAGCCAATTTTAGGTTTAAAAACATGTTATTCTTTTGACTTAATTAAAAAAACACAGAGTGTAAATGTTGATGAGGAACTTACTAATAAGGAACAATTATTACTAGAATATAAAGATGTATTTGAGGGAATGGGCACATTCACAGGTTTTTGTAAAATACAATTAAAAAATGATAGTGTTCCAGTAGCTAGACCAGCTAGAAGAGTACCATTTACTATAAAAAATAAGCTAAAAGAGAAATTAGGTAAATTAGAAAGTAGAAATATTATATCCAAAGTAACAGAAGCGTGTGAATGGGTTAATAATATAGTTATAGTTGAGAAGCCAGATGGTTCACTGCGTCTGTGTCTAGACCCTCAAGAGCTTAATAAATGTATTGTCAGGGAATATTTTGAAATTCCTAGTTTAGAGGAAATAAGTTCGAAACTGTCAGGAAAAAAATATTTTTCAGTATTAGATTTCAAAGATGGCTTTTATCAAGTTAAATTAGATGAAAAATCTAGTTCCTTAACAACATTTGCAACTCCATTTGGGTGTTACAAATTTCTCAGATTACCATTCGGTCTAAATCTGGCCCCAGAATATTTTCAGAAATTAAATTGTAAAAATTTTGGTGACATTGAAAATGTTATTATATATTTTGATGATCTATTAATTGCATCTGATTCCATGGAGGAGCATGACAAGACACTTAAAATAGTGTTTAATAGAGCTAGGGAAATGGGTGTAAAGTTTAGGAAATCAAAATTTCAGTTTAGACAAATGACAGTGAAATACATGGGACACATTTTTAGTGAAGATGGTATGAAAATAGATAATGATAGATTGAGGGCTATAAATGACCTAAAAAACCCGTCAAACAAGAAAGAGCTTCAAAAACTGCTGGGTGTGGTAAATTATGTACGAAAATTTGTTCCAAAATTGGGTGAGATTGCAAGCCCACTGTATCAATTACTGAAAAAGAATGTTATTTTTCAGTGGCTTGGAGTTCACAGTAAAGCACTGGATGTGATAAAACAGGAACTTGCTAAAAATATATCTCTAAAGAATTTTGATTCTAGTAAAGATATTGTAATTCAAACAGATGCGTCTCAGTTTGGTTTAGGATGTTGTCTAATGCAAGGTGGAAGACCTGTTGCTTATGCTTCTAGAGGTTTAACAGGTACTGAGGAAAATTATGCTGTCATAGAGAAAGAGTTATTAGCTGTAGTGTTTGCATGTCAAAAATTCCACAATTATATTTATGGTCGCTCTGTAAAATTCATAACAGATCATAAACCTAATGTAAGTATCATGAGTAAGCAAATAAGTCAAATTAGTTCTCCTAGGTTGCAGAGGCTAAAACTGAAGCTACTGAAATATGATATACAAATTCAGTATGTACCTGGTAAATATTTACATATTGCTGATTATTTGTCTAGAAATGTAAGTGATGAAAGTGCAGAGAATGATGCTGATATGAATGAAATGGTGCATTCACTAGAAAAGCATTTAAGAATGAGTGATACTAGAAAGATTCAGTTTAAAGCAGAAACAGTAAAAGATCATGTACTGAGCAAAGTCATTGAGTGTTGTCTGAGAGGGTGGAAGAATACAAAGTATGAAGGAGAGATGAAAGTTTTTCACCAGTTAAGAAATGAGTTGTTTGTTAATGATAATCTTTTATTTTTCAATGATAGAATTGTTGTACCTAAAGTTTTGCGAAAAGAAATGCTTCAAATTGTACATGAAGGTCATTTTGGTATAAATCGTTCAAGAGATCGAGCAAAAGATGTCTTATTTTGGCCAGGGATGAGTGTGGATATTGCGAATGAGATACAGAGTTGCAAAATTTGTGAAAAGTATAGGTATGCAAATAGTAAAGAGCCATTAATATCTCATGATGTCCCGGAATTGCCATTTCAAAAATTGGGTGCTGATATTATGGAACATGGTGGCAAAGCTTATTTGGTTGTTGCTGATTATTTAACGAAGTGGCTAGAAATAATCCCTATAAGAGGTAAACAATCGTCTGATGTTATAAATGCACTCAAGCAGATATTTGCAACACATGGTATACCAGATGTAATTATAGCTGATAATATGCCTTTTGGATCATATGAATGCAAAAAGTTTGCAGATAAATTTGAGTTTAAATTTCAAACTAGTAGCCCCCATTACCCTCGATCGAATGGTTTAGCTGAGAGGTTTGTACAGATATCTAAAAATATTATTAGAAAATCAGATGACATGTGGGTTGCTCTAATGAACTATCGTAATACTCCTGTTACTGATCTCAAGAGGTCACCAGCTCAACTTCTATTTGGCAGAAAACTAAAAACTAAATTACCAGTTGTTGAAAAACAAAATGATAATATCAAAGAAGTTAGGTCAAAATTAGAAGAAAGAAATAATACTTATAAGGAATATTATGATAGACAGACAAGAAATAGGCCCGGATATAAGCAAGGTGAAAATGTGGTATACAAAGATAATAATCAATGGAGTCCGGCTGTTATTGTCAATAAACATGAGTCTCCAAGGTCTTATTTAATTGATAATGGTAAAAATGTCTTACGTAGAAACAGCTATCACCTGCGTAGGTCAAAAGTTGATCATGATATTAGGCAGACTCAGAATTTAAGTGATGACAATGATAATACACCTAGTTGTAGTAAAACTCAGAGTTCTAGCAGTTCAGAGTGTGATACTGACATGAGCTTGAGACCATCACGTACTATCATACAGCCTGCCAAGTATTCTGATTATATTTTATATTAGTATAATTTACTCTGTTTGTATTTTGTATTAGCATAGTTTTTTTTTGTATGATTAAAGATTGTGTAAAAAAAAAAAAAAAAAAAAAAAAAAAAAAAAAAAAAAAAAATTGTAAAAGGGGGAGATGTAGTAATAGGCCACATGTAAAAGAAGAAGAGGCGTGGCACCATGAAGTTAGAGATAGAGGTTAGGTTAGGTTAAGATAAAAAGATGTAACGTGTATATTGTTAATCTTATAGTTTTATTAAATATAACATTTAATAAATACCGAGTATTATTATTACAAATTGGACCTTAATCGGACATCCATAATACGTCCGGAGGACTTAAGGTCAATTCAGACACATCAGTCACGTGACAGTCACGGTACCGAACCGGTCCTGTTTGGTCACAGAACTATCAACTATCTGACAGCTGGCAAACTGTTCGTCAACTGATGAGTGTGAATGCCGGCGCCATATTTGTATTAAAGAATATTTTGTATGACGGATTGTTCGATTCGGCGCAATCACTGTGACGAGATGTTGACGAGACGTGACTGATGTGTCTGAATCGACCTTTAAGGTCGATTCACACACATCAGTCACGTCACAGTCACGGTACCGAACCGGTCCTGTTTGGTCACAGAACTATCAACTATTTCAAATTTCGTTATTCGGCTATATTGGCGTCAATTTTCGTCCGAGAGTTAAGCGGGTAGACATTTCTTACATAAAATTGACCGCTCGTTCTTCTGCCATACTCAGAATTTTCCTACAACTAACGGTTCGTGAAAAAAATTTTCATTTGGAGGTCTGTATATCTGATGAAAAACATGAGAATTTTTAATTCGATTTTTTCTCTTTTCCGGCAATTTTGGGTTAGCCGATCAGACTAGTACACATTTTTGTAATAATCTGGACCGAATGCATGTACCAAAATATAAAAAAAAAAAATTTTTTATAAAAATTTGGAAAAAATCGTCAAAGGGGTACCCTTGGATTTTTTTTCAAATTTCGTTATTCGGCTATATTGGCGTCAATTTTGGTCCGAGAGTCAAGCGGGTGGACATTTCTTACATTAAATAGACCGCTCGTTCTTCTGATATACTCAGATTTTTCCTACATCTAACGGTTCGTGAGAAAAATTGTCAATTTGGAGGTGTGTAGATCTTCTAAAATAATGACACTTGATGTAAAAATTTATTTGAAGTCAAAGAAACTTTTATGTCCAAGAAATTCACGAATTTATTGACACAGAAATTGATGAATAAATTCATGGATGACTTCGTGAATTATTTATTGTTGGTGTAAAGCCCGTATTAGAAAAATAAGATTTTAATAACAAAAAACAAAGCATAATTGAAATTCGTAATCTTGGAAGGCATCGAGCACAGAATAATAAACAACATTGTTTATTATTATGTGATAAGAGAAACGATCGTGCGTGTGCAGCGGCGAAATCTTGCAATATTCTTAGTTCCTTTTAGAACCATTTTAGAACATTTCATAGGTACAAAAACAGTAATTGAAGAAAATGGGATTTCGAAAATGCTGTGTTATAAGTTGTAAAAATACAACAAAAAATAATCAATTCAAGTTCTATTCGTTTCCAACTTCTAAGCACAAATTAATACAAAGAGAGGAGTGGATTTATACCATAATAAAGCAAAAGTAAGTAACATAACCTAAATTTTGCATTCTTACGTCCGATTTTATAATTCAGTTTCGCTAGGTAAATAACTAATAAGGTATAACTCTCACTTATTTAAATTATTGTAGAAATCTATCAATTAGCTTGGTAAATTTCACTTTGACTTAACATTTTAACCTCAAAATTCTGATAATGATCATGGTTCAAGTTTGTTTACAATCTTATTTTTTTCAAATTTAATGGTAAATAAATGGTCAATATTTCTTTTTTTTAGTTTTTTCATGATTCTTTGTAAGGTTTGGATTGACAAAAGATACAGTTATGCACTTAGTCTAAAATTAACCATAGGTAAAGTGTAGTTTAGGTTGTCATTTATGAAATCGCAAAATATTATGATATACAATTATTAAAGTGAGTTAATTAATTGAATTTTACAGCGGATATGATTGCAATTGGAATCCTACACGTACTCACTTAATCTGCAGTGCTCATTTTATTGGAGATAAAAAGAGTGAGAGTGAGCTAAGTCCTAATTATGTGCCAACAATATTTTCATCAAAGTTGCAGCATAAATTGAGTCAAAATGCATCTTTAAATAGACATGAGCGTTTCAAAAAGCGTTATCTACAAAAAAGATCACCATTAATTGTAGATAAAAAGCCAATCAGTTCTGTGAATGAACTTAAGAATTTTAAGCATCTTAAGAATTTGGAGTCAGAGGTAGCAGCCAATTCAACAAGTGAAAATGTAATGGTAAATATAATGGATATTAAGGTTGAAATTAAGAGAGAACTTGAAGAATATGATAATGGATTTAGTAGTGCAGATGTACAATATATGCAGAGTGAGTTATCCACAGCAGTAGATATAATAGATGTTAAAGATGTTAAAAAGGAAAAACAAGAGGATGATTCAGGTGAGATACTAAATTAAACAAGAAAATATAAAGCCAAATATGCATTTCCTAGTTCAGTTTTGCATAAATTTTAATATTTATTTCCTTATGTCCTATATATCCATACCAGAGTAATTGGAAAATGTAACTTTAATTTTAAACATAATAAATACAACATAACCTGCAATAGTGTTTCTAGCATCATTCTTGTATAATTTGATTGTGTAATAAGAGGGTAATAGACTTCAATTGTAGATAATAAGCCAATCAGTTCTGTGAATGATCTGCATCTGAACAATTTGGAACCAAAAATAGCAGCCAATTCAATGAGTGAAAATAAAGTGGATATTAAGGTTGAAATTAAGAAAGAACTTGAGGAATATGATAATGGAGTTAGTGGTAGGGACATACAATATATGCAGAGTGAGTTATCCACAGAAGTAGATATAATAGATGTTGAAGATGTTAAAAAGGAAAAGCAAGATCATTCAGGTAAATTACTAAATTAAACATGAAAATGTAAAGCCCAATGTAGCATGTTACTTTTCTAGTTGCAGACTTATGCGACATAATTATGTCCATATCACAAGTGTGACTGTAATTTTAAACATAATAAATACAACATAACCTGCAATAGTGTTTCTAACATCATTCTTGTTTAATTTGATTTTTTAATAATAACCTTTACAAACTTGAAATTTATGTCAATGGATTCTGCTTCAGTTACCTAATATCTAACCTAAGTTCAGTTACCTAATCTGCACAACATATTTGGCTGTCTGCTGAACATTTTGTATGAATAAAAATTACTGATGTAATATAGTCTATAGTCCGCACCTATCGAGGCGCCAATATTGATTCAGATCACTTTCTAGTTGGCACACGAATTCGAGCTAGAATCTCAAATGCGAAGAAGGAGAGAAGTACCAAAACAACGAGTCTCAATATTGAAATCCTCAAAAATTCGCAAACAGTAGAAAGGTTTCGAAACTAAACACATAATTCATGAGGACCTAACAATTAGTGAACAATGGGAAATGTGTAAAAATAATATTAAAGAGGCAGCAAATAATATTCTAGGGCCAGAAAGACCACCACCACGTAATGACTGGTTTGATGCTGAGTGTGAGGACATTACAAGAAGAAAGGACGATGCATATAAACTGATGCAGCAAAGAAGAACCCGAGAAAAACAGCAAAAATATAAAGATCTCAGAAAAGAAGAGAAGTGCATTCATAGAAGGAAAAAGCGAACTCACGAAAATAGAATGTTGGAAGAACTTGAGGTATTAAAAAAGAAAAACCAAACAAGAAAATTCTACAAAACTCTGAATAATGCAAGAAAGGAATTCAAACCAAGGCTCAGACTATGTAAGGATAAGGAGGGGCATATACTAAATACAAAATAAGAAGTACTGAAAAGGTGGGTGCAACACTTTAAAGAACTACTTACGATAGAAGTAGAAGATACAGATCCAAATCAACCACCCGAAGGAGCAAACAACAATTCCCCATTAGAACCTCCATCAATTCAAGAAGTACCAGATGCAATAAAACACCTAAAAAACAATACATCTCCAGGAAGTGATGGTATACCCGCGGAACTTATCAAATGTGGAGGTGCTTCTGTGACTAATCAAATATATAAAATAATACTGAGAGCCTGGAATGAGGAATAAATCCCGGAAGAGTGGTGTATTGGAATCGTTTCCCCACTACACAAAAAGGGTGACCAATTGGAATGTAGAAACTATAGGGGAATAACCCTCCTTAATACAGCATACAAAATATTTTCGAGGATCATATATGGTCGCCTAAGTACATATTCAGAGGAACTTCTTAGGGAATATCAAAGTGGCTTTAGGCCTGGTCGATCAACAACAGATCAGATCTTTGGGCTAAGGCAAATACTGGAAAAAACCAATGAATTCAATATCGATACATACCATCGTTTTGTAGACTTCAAATCTGCCTATGATAGTGTCCTAAGAAATAAATTGTATGAAGCAATGAATGAATTCCAAATCCCCGATAAACTGATAGGATTGGTTAAGGCTACAATGCGTAATGTGGTTTGCAAAGTCGAAATATAGGGCGAACAATCACAGGCATTTGGAATGCATGTTGGGCTGCGACAGGGAGACGCGCTGGCGTGTCTACTTTTCAACATAGGACTGGAAAAGGCGATCAGAGATGCCCGAATAATCAACAGAGGAAATATTTTTAATAAATCATCCCAAATTTTGGCATATGCACATGATGTGGACCTAGTTGCCCGCACAACACGCAAGCTAGAAGAAATGTATACCACCTTCTCAAATGCCTCAAAATCTATGGGCCTGCAAGTAAATGAGGAGAAAACTAAGATGATGGCATCAACACCCAACAATAGAGCCAGGAACATCAGTCCCCAATTCACGGTTGATAACTCTACCTTTGAAATGGTTGACAAATTCACATACTTAGGCTCCCTGATCACCAAAGAGAATGCCATAACGGAAGAAATCAAGCGAAGGATAGTAATGGCAAACAAATGCTATTTTGGACTGAGTAGACATATGAGAAGTAGAAACTTAAGCCAAAAAACAAAAATAACTATATACAAAACCCTTATACAGCCAGTGTTGACATATGGATCGGAGACATGGACCATCATAGGCAGAAGAAGACCTTTTGCTTATATTTGAACGAAGGATCCTGAGAGGGATATTTGGTGGCATCTGTGAAAATGGTGTTTGGAGGAGGAGATACAACTACGAGGTATACCACAGATATAAACAAATATTTGGTGGTAAAGACGTAGTATATCTTATAAGAATAGGAAGATTAAGATGGGCAGGACATCTAGCAAGATCACAGCAGAACAACCCTCCTAGAAGAATCCTTATGTCACAACCCGTGGGAAGCAGAAAAAGGGATAGGCCAAAACTCAGATGATAGGATGGTGTAGATGAGGATGGTAGAAAGATAGGCGCAGCAAACTGGCAACGGTCGGCAATGGATAGGACTGCCTGGCGTTATATACTTGGGAAGGTCGAGGCTCTTTCATAGGGCTGTAGCACCATTGATGATGATGAGTCTGTCACAAACCCTTCTTTCAATGCATCATAGTTGATCAAATTATCTCTAACACATTAAGCTAGAAGTTACAGAAAAAAACGTGAGTCTATAATTAATATACATAGAACTTAGAAAATTAAACTTTTGGCTGCCACAGAATCCTATTTTATCACAGGAAAGTTTGCTTTGGTGATTTTAATTTCAAATATCTCAGTTACAAAAAACTTTTTGTTTATTCTAAGGGACTTTTGGCCCTCGGTAATAATGTAATCTTTTATTATGCCTTTAAATTTTTCAAAAATATTTGTTAGTTTTCTCAGGATTCGAAAAATATGAATGTGTTTAAAAAGCATTGGCATGAAATTTTGCGCCTATGCTCTTAATAGCCCAAATAAAATTACTGTTACAGACTTCTTTCATTGTGGCAGTGGATATGCATTAATTATTGTAATTAAAAACTTTCTATTGTAAGTACTAATCTATATACAACTACACTGCTGAGTATAAAATTACGGTCACTCATAATATGAATTTATTTTAAAAATTATTATTTTTTAACTATTTTCGGTTGTAGCATAGTTTACCAACTAATTTTTAAAAGGCAACAACGTTTTTACCCTCAAAGGTTATTCAAAGTAATGAAAATGAACATTTTTCTTTAATATACTATATACAGTGTAACATTTTTTTTTTATTATTAATATATTAAATTATTTTTAATTCCTTTTACCCCCGTGCGATACGCCGATGATTAGGAATCCCCGTGTTTACGATAGTAACACAATATTGTAGATACCAAGCTAAAATGGAATTCCCTAATTAAGAAAGGTTTTTAATCCTTCCGTCTTAATACTCTGTATGAAAAGAACAAATGCTTTCCGGTATGCAGTTTCCTTTTCATAAATTGGCAATTTTCGTCGAAGGCCCATATCTTTTGACAATAACTTAATCCCAAGTATTGTCGAGTTCGATTGTAGCAGCGGAAGCGACTAGTTCTCTGTGTGATCGAAGTGCTAATTAATAGAGTTGTTGTTGTTTTTTACCAAAAAATGGAATTAAATTCAGATGGTAGAGGAAATCCACCTGACAGAGGAAGGATTGACGATATTGCTAGTAATATGGATTATGAAGTTAATGAAAAACAAAAGCAGTCTGAGGAAATTATAAATATTGATATTAATACACAATCAAAACAGGTACCGATAACAAATTCAAAAAACTTTTTACCAGATTATCAGGTAAGCAATAAAACAAATATTAATATAGGCCAGCCAATAATGTCAGAGGTGAAAAATAAATACAGTCAAGGTGACCAAGGTCCTTATTTTGTTTTTATGCAGAATAAGGAAGGTAACATTGGCCGATTGCATCGCATAGCGACAGCACGATTAATCTTAGGTGCAGTACCTGCAATTAAAGATAATATTGTTAATATTAATATTATAGGAAAAAATAAAATTAAAATTGAATGTAACACATATAAAAGCGCTAATATTTTAGTGGAATGTAAAAAGTTAATAGAAAGAAATTACGATTTATATATTCCAAATTTTTTTACTCAGAAGAGTGGGGTAATTAAAGGGGTAGACAAAAATATTTCAGAAAACGAATTAAAAGGTATTATTGTTCCAAGATACGGCAATTTTAAAGTAATAAACGTTAAAAGAATAAAGCGAAAAGAAAATGATCAACTGGTGGAGACGGGTACGATAGTGGTGTCTTTCAGAGGCCAAATGATTCCAAAACAAGTAATCATTGAACGAATGATATACCAAGTGGAACCTTACGTTCCGAGAGTAATACAATGCCTTAATTGCATTAGATACGGACACGTTACGTCACAATGTCGAGGTAAGAAAAGATGCAGCAAGTGCGGACAGGAACATGATTCAGATGTATGCGATTTAACAGATCCCACTTGTATATTATGTTTCGGAAACCATTCAGCATTAGATCGAAACAAGTGCGCTGAGTTTGAAAAACAAAAGGGCATTAAATATATAATGGCAAATGAAAATGTACCTTTTGAAGAAGCAAAATTAAAATACAGCAGTAGCTATAGGACAGTCCTGAATTCAACAAACACAGGAAATAGGTACACAGTGACAACCAAGAGAAAATGGAGCGAAGGAGCTCAAAATAAATCAGTTTATCCTTATTCAAAAGAACACGAAAATATACTGGACACTGCAAGCACTTCTGCTTACCCGTCGCTACCAATTATAAACAACCCATTATATCAAAATCAAACAAAAATAGTCCAACAAAACTCACTAACTAGTAAACAAATTACTGATAATATAGTAACAATATTTAAAAATTTCTTAGACAAAAACTTAATTCCAATAGCAAACAAACAAATTTTAGACGACATCAAAAGTAATATAGAAAAAGTTTTAAATGGGCCTAGTAAATAATAAGATTTTACAATG